CAGTAGTACAGGTTCGCTCTGAGTGTTAGCGATTCTTGCTAATGTAAACAAAGACCATATTACGTCCAAAACAGTCAGGCATTGTTTCTGATAGCAACGTTTCTGATAGGGCCGAGGGTGTAAAGCCAGCCCACATTTCTGATATTACATCATATCGGACGCAAATCTGGATCAGCTCCATTGTACCCCCGTTTTTAGAGATGTGGGTACGGAGGAAAACAGAGAGGGGTTTTTTTTCTGACACTTTGTGAGTTCCCGGACACACATATTTATGTATAAAAGACATCAAAAAGTGCATTTTGCATGATAATCATAAATCATATGAAAGATAAGATTCTCAGCTGCTCTCAAGATTTCTCCATAATTACAATTGATAAATATAAACCCTCTTCAGAGTTGTGGTTAACACTTTGTAATCTCTAAGGAGCAGATCAACAACAATCGGAATACTGGCCCTTTAGTAAGCAACAGATATGCTGAGCAGACAAATCTTATCTGAAGTTAATCAACAGATACAAGAGAATCACTGTGCCGACGCTGCATTTGCGAGGAATTTAGTCTATTTTATTAATTTGAGTCAAATTTCTGCAACATCAGGTTTCTTGTGGAAGCCAGCATATAATTCTCAGGGCATTGTGAGAAACTTGATACAGAGAGGAGGACAAATTTCTACCGACATGGAATATCATAAACAGATAGTCAAATTGTGCTGACTGCATGTAGTCTCACACTTTCTGAGAAAACACACTCACAAAATAAAATCACATTATCTTTTCTGTCATGTAATTCTGGTTTCTATCTTGTGTTTTTATCTGTACTAGTGCAGCTGTGTAAAGCACAATGTAACGCTTAACTTCACAAAAACGATGTGTAGATAAATCAGCTTTGACAAACTTTGTTTTGCTTTTTCCATTAACACTGTGCAAGCAGAGGCATGGTGGAGCGGCAGTGTATCTATATCAGGACAAACGCAATGCAATGAAAGCAGCTTGTTGGGTCAAATAGCTCCGGTAACAGATCTAATTGAATCCGTTTCAGGTTCTCAGTGCAGGTACATCCACCACAGCAAGCAGCAGGGAGGAAATCAATACGTCCTCTCTGCAGCCATGGACACAGTCTAATTTCATTGAAGGCTTCTCTCTCTCTCTCTGCCCACATGTGCAGGTTAATGAAGGTCCTTTTATAATCCTATTAGAAAAGGAGAGCGTGTATGGAACACAGAGGAGAAGCCTTTGTGTATATAGTAGGAGTTTTTTCACAAGGTTGTTTTTAACCATTTTGATCCAATGCTAACTATTGATTGAACATGATCAAAACGTAGTGTCATGACGTGTATATAAATAATCATAATTTTACAATGCAACAAAGCAGTTTGCTTTATTTAACCCTCCATTGTTTATTTTTCTAATCTATGGTTTCTCTAAGAGATAGAACTCACAAAGTGGTGCATATTTGTTTTTATAATGTGGTGTGAAAACTACCTTAGCGTCACACTATTTAAAATGTTTTTATCTCCAAAAAATTAAAATGCAAAATATTTGTATGTATGAATTAACTGTGGACATTGGGTACTTCTCTAAAAAACATAAACGGTATGCATTTAAAAGTACCCTGATCACCCTGGCGGTGATTGATTTGGTACAGGTCAGGGATGTGGAGGCTCAGGGTCCTGACGGAGGGAGGGGGCCGGACCAGGGATGGTGTAGGAGTCATGCTCGGCATCTGAGAAGAGAGTATAGGTTCTTTAATGGACAATATAAACATCACTTATTATTCTGTTTTGAAAGTACTCTACAAAAAACATAAATCAATAGTTATTTAGTTTCAATTAAAACAACCGATGTCTTCTCACTTGAAGGTCAGCTTTACAGTGAGCTGGGGTCTTCTGGGTCAGGATCAAATCTGGAGGAGTGAGGGAGCTGGGGGGGGGACATGTGGGGTCGGGGGGAGGCGATTTGTTGCTTAGGGACGAGCCACTGTAGCTGACGGTTTGATCAATCAGCAGAGCGCTGAACGGGTTGGTGTCCATACCCTGAGCAAGACACAACAATAAACAAGACTTTAGTAGAGTTCATTCTAATGGTTTTTGTGTGAAGAATCAGTTCTGTCCACGTAAAAACGTACAGCACGGTTTGCCATCATCTAATTTATTCCATAAATGTTTGTTTTTATTAGGAGATTGCAGTGTAGTTTGAAGCAGGAATTTAAAAAACAATAACTTGACTTTTGTTTTATAACTCAGTCAAAACTCAAAGCTCCAATTACTAAAATGGTAATTTACTGTACGAATAAACATGTTTGTTTGTTTGTGTAAATTCACTTAGAAAACAAACTAAGATGATGGTGAAATGTCCTACAGAAACAGAGAGCATCTGTGTTCTAATAAGACATGGAAGAAGGCAGAGGTAAACAAAGTACCTGGCCATGGGGGCGGACCTCCTTGTGCTCAATACACTCCAGGTCGGGCAGCTCTCCATCTTCAGCCGTTGACATCAAGAGACTTCCTGTTACCTTCAGATTCATATTTAAATTAGAAATGTAACTTTACGGTGTAATTAAATGATGTGACAGTGGAATTCATTCAGCTGGTGGCAGTAAAGATGTTAACATAGAAGTTGTTAATTCATAGCTTTATGGCAATGGTAAATATTACTCAGAATTATTTTTATAAACTTTTACCCTTCAGGGAAAATAGGCAATATTTAACAGTGCAAAGGTTACCTTTTTAATCTGCTTCCAGTTGTGGTGTTATTCTACAATAAAACCCTCCCAAAATTATACAAACAAAAGCAAATTTGAAAAACTGAATGTTTTTTGTAATGGGAAGTAAACAAAGGAGCGTCATATTTTGTTTTTTTGTGCCACCATTGTTTAGTTTGGTTGCAAATGTGCATCAAAAAGTATACATTTTTATTTCATCATTTTACCCCCATTCAATATGCAAATAAATGGAGCAATAACCGGTCACAGACATTAACAATAAGATGTCCTTTCCTCTGTGTTTAGTGCAACAACCATCCAACATAAGAGCGACACAATCTAGTTAGCCAATATCCATTAAACTGCCCACTGATTGGCTGTCATGTATTTATTGGCCAACAACATGCTGTGACCTTCTAAACAGTGGCTCTATACATTAAGCATTGGATAGAAATCCCTCCCCTGTGTGTGTGTGTGTGTGTGTGTGTGTGTGTGTGTGTGTGTGTGTGTGTGTGTGTGTGTGTGTGTGTGTGTGTGTGTGTGTGTGTGTGTGTGTGTGTGTTGCAGTGGTCCTGCAGCAGTGACAGTATGGCTGGTAAGATAAGAGCTATGGACAGTGGAGAATAAAGGCTTTCCAGCAACATTGAAAGATTGGGGCAAGAAAGAGGAAGTGAGAGAGGGAGGCCGAGAAGAGACAAAGAGAGTGCACTCATTGATTAGAAACAATTGAGACATGAAACTGCAAATCCACCACAAATGTCTAAGTAACCCGGTACTAAGACCTCTGAGTTTTGTTTTGCTGTGCTAAAACCTCAAATATTTGTTTATAGCTAGCTCTGTATGTATGTGTCTGAAGTACCTTCACGGATGCCGTCATGGACTCTTCTGTTGGAGACTTTGGGGATAAAGTGACCATCTCTTCTTCTACCTCTGGAAGGTCTACCATTCCCATTCCCAGGTACAGACTCACTGGCTGGATCTGGTCACACAGCTAAGAGAAGAAAAGGGTAGAGTACAGTAATATGTATTAAGTTATAAAAGGGCTGTACAGTGGCCTAGCAAGGTAACTGGTCTTAACTTATAGCAAGTTAAGTTTCAAATAAGTGATCCGATCATAAAAAGCACCACCTGCTGAAAAATCAGAGCTCAGTGTGCCGAATTTAAGGGCTATAAAGTTAAACTCAAGGCTAAAAGAAAAACAGTTTCAACTGCCCAATAATCGCCAAATAGTATATGTGCAAATTGATAATATATCACTGCCCATCGACAGAACTATCTGACTATAATTACATTTGCACTGATCAGGTTATTTAAATATCTAAAACATTATCCACAACATAAGCAACTGGAAAGTATGTCAGAGCAATGCATACAGTCTACGGCAGAGTAAGTTCATTAAACCAACTTGTTGCCCTAATAATTTATATCATATTAATGTATCTGTGTCCACAAACTGTATTGTACGGCATTGTTCATTATGAAAAACATTTTACAAAAGCACTAACAACCCGACGCATGTAAAAAAACTGAACAAATGAACTCCACACATTAGATAATGCTAAGATAAACGTTAAATAAAGGAAATTAGGTTTTTATATTTACTTTTGGGGATGACTAATGTATGAAAGAATAAAGTAGTACATTGTAGCACAGCTGAGCGTGATCCCATTTGTTAGGATTATTAAAAACTGATAACACAAAGATATCCGGGGTATGTTGAGCTGCCTTTGTAGTACAAGCCTCAAGTATAGGTTTAGATCAAAATATATAGAAACATGTTTCTCATACTATGTTCACAGAAGCATATCTCTGTAATCAGACTGACCCATAATTAGGAATGAAATCATAAGTAAGCCGAATCAAAGGCGTTAATGATGCCAGCTATATCACTTACCAGGTAAATAACTAGTACCCTGATTTAGTACTGTGGGTTAACTGTCGACGACATAGACGCTGTGTTTGACATACAGTAAAGGACACCTGCCAACCAATCAACAGCTGGTTTGTCATGGTAGAAACGCTGGGTTACGTATTGTAACCCTTGTTATATTAACACAGGCGGAGCCCTCTACTGGACTCTATGGGGTACTACCCTCTATGCAAGCATTCACCTACTGAGATTTCTATAGACGTAGCCAGCACTACCTGAATGCGCGCGCATCTCACCGTATAAAAGGAGGCCTGGCCTCCTGACTATCATCCTACACCTCTCTTCAGCGAGCGATATAGGACAGACAGTGCCCTGAGTAGAGGGCTCCGCCTGTGTTAATATAACAAGGGTTACAATACGTAACCCGGCGTTATATCTCTCACAGGCTCCGCCCTCTACTGGACTCTATGGGTACAGTGGGTGGAGCCCTGATGTATACGCGCACTGTCGTCCAACAACATCATTCCACCCTACTGCCCCTGATCGGCTTTTCTGGTCAGCAGCTGCTGCCCCACATTCTCCTTTAACCCGGTTGTGACGTGGAGAAGTCTGGGCTACGGCTGACAGAGCACACTGCTGCGCTTACCTCGCAAAAAGTGCACTCACAAAACAGTGCAAATCTGTGCTCTGGAGCAATTTCTACATGAAAGTACGCGTCTTTCAGGTCGATGGTGGTGAACCAATCGCCTGGCTGCACAAGCCCCAGTAACTGTTTCATAGTTAACATGCGGAATTTCCTGCAGGAAAGGTGGCGATTCAGACCGTCTCTTTGAAACGGACATTATGGAGAAAAGTGGAATTGTGGAATCGTTTTTACTCCGGGTTCATACACTTTTTCAGCAATGATTTTCAATGACTTTTCCAAGACCTTTGCCTAATTTTCCATGACCAAAAAAATGACTCAGCGGTACCACTGAAAATTGGATTCTGCTTTGTCAGCATACTCGTCTGCCGACTTCTCCAATTCACCAATGTCGTTCTGTACTCTGGCCCTCTTTTTTTTAAGTTCATCCAACTCATCTGCAAGAGCCTTTCTTTTTTGCACACCCTTTTCCTTAGCATTGGCCCTCTGCTGGTCATCCAGGTAGCTGTGGTACCTTTGCCTTGCTCCAGAAACTGAGATCAAAAGATCTTTGGTGAGTTGCACATTGGTTACACCGCCAACAGATCTGATATGGCCAACGATGAGCCTCTGAGCAACCAGGGAGGCCTCCTTCTGATTCTCCACAATCAACTCTTTATTGATTGAGAACCCTCTCTCAACACTCGCCTGTCCATGAGAGAGAACCAGCAGCATTTTCACCACATGCCACACCTTGGAAAAAGCTTTGTTGGCTCCCATTGTTGAATGTAGTAGAGTGTCAACTCTGTCTGTAATGGGCTCAAATTCCCTGAAGTTTGCTTGAAGGGCAGCAAAATCACAAAACTCGCTGAACTCTCTAAGGATGTCATCACACACTGACTCCTTAACATGGTTAGCCCCAACAAGGTGGTGCAGAATCCTTTTCATTTGAGCCAGGCACACTTCCTTGGACTCAGCCATGTATCTTGGGTCAAGGCACCGCATACTTCTCACAAGCTGCTGGTTCACTGGAGCCTTATTCTGTAGCTTCTCCAGTAGCTTGATCAAGAATGTCTTGCATTCCATCCTGAGCTCCAGTGCCTGCCTCTCTGATACCTTGTTGATGGATCTTAGTTGCTTAAGACAGGTTTCAGCTGAGACTCCCAGGTTGATTTTTGTGGCATCCTTGTGTATGCTGCTGTCTTGGAGAGGGATATGAAGAAGCTTCAAAACTGTGGTGGCCTCCTTCATAGGTTCCTCTTTGAAGAATCGCCCCATTAGTCCTGTGAATAACATAGAATTAAAATTGGTGTGAAAAATTCAAGTGCAACTGTCAAATACCAGATATACACCAAGAGATGGAAAATATTGTTTAGTCTATCTGTACAGATGAAATGCAATTGCATATTTGTACCAAATACATATTTAAACTTACTAGGATGAAACAAAACAATGAGTTGAATCAACAGAAGATTTATAAATCTCAGTTTCATTTTAATAGTTGTGATTTTTTTATTATTCTTATTTTTGTACATGTAATCGTGTAAGAAACTCTGATCTGTGCCATTTACTAATTTATCACAATTGTTTTTGTCTCTGTTGCAACTTATACAAATTAAAGTTAGTTTTTATACAGCAGTTAGAAGCCTAAGTCAATTAAAGATTAATGTTTTGGCTCAGATAATTAATGTGTGATGAACATTTACCATAGTTGTATAATTGATTACCTTATTTTCTGTCATTTCATGGTCTTTAGCCATTACGATAATCAAATAATTGTCAGTTGCAGACCTACTAATTTTACATCATGACATCTCAATGCTTAGTCTGAATGAACTTCTCTGGTTTGCGTGTGGTTTTAATCTAAGCCTTGATTCCTATCCTGATGTTGCTAGATTTTAATATGATTATTTGTATCTAATTGTGTATGCATTATGTGTCATGAAACATCCTGGCACTGTCATTTATTGGACTAGATCTGTCTTTCAAAATAAACTGCATCTCAATGAAACGACAGGGTAAAACATAGGTGAAATAAACTAAGACATGTTTTTTTATAAGTACAAATGTGCCTCGTCCCTGCGTGTTACTATTTCCAGTCTATAGGTGGCACTGTTGTTTAATTATCCATTCAGAGTAGGGATTTAAAATGTTATTGGAATTAAAAGAAACACAATGCTGATATGGAAGATTACCAAATTACTAGGGATGCACGATATTGGTTTTTTGAAACCGATACCGATAACTTCCTGCTTCTCAAGACCGATACCAACAATTTCTTTACGCCACTAATTATTTTAACGCGATTAACGCATGTGTATTTTTTTTCCTTGGCCGCCCCGTAGTTTCAGAGCGCATCGAGTTTAAAATACCATCTACAAGCTGATGCTGACAGCCCCGCTCCTGCCGCCCGCTTGTGGCAGACCACACTTCCACGCTCACCGGCAGGCACCGACTGGCCATCTGGAGGACCGGGAGGGTGTGTGTATGTGTGGCCCGAGCGAGAGAGAGACCTTACGTGCATTGTTGTTGTTAGCATCTGGTGCTAGCTAGCTGCGCTAACGGATATAAGGAGCTGTTTAAATGAAAACAGAGGAGCGACATTTCGCCATAACTGCGCCGAGCACTTGACTTTTTGCAGGAAGCCAGACAGTGGGACATTGTACGAAAAGTCAGCACACTCAGCACGGATAGTGCACAACATGATTGCAACATCCAGGCAGCTCCGGTTCGAGCATATGCCTTGAGTTGCACATAGCTCCAACGCCCATACCACCGACGACATGTTTGTTTACTGTCCTGGCTTCACGGCCGCACACCATTTACGTCACAGCCAGGCATGAGTTAGGGAACGCTGGATTTGTGAAGAACTCCCCTCTTCCTAAACCACTAATACCACAGTACTGGCAAAACGGGAGGAGCCGAGTGAAAAACAAGCGCCCCTCATCCCAATCCACCCACACCGCAGTATTTTTTTTTACCCAAAAAATATATTGTATATTATCGGGGCTATTAATACTGTTATCGGGTTTATCGGGATGACGTCATAATTCCTAATATCGGACCGATAATTATCGGGCCGATAATTATTGTGCATCCCTACAAATGACCAAATATGCCCATACTCATCTTTAATTATGATTGCTTGCTGGCTTCTTTTAGTTTTAGTTAATACTACAGCGACCCTGTATAGAACCTGTATTGGGTGCTGTGTGTGTCAGTCTTGCATCTCCCATCTCTCAGCCAATCACAATGCTGCAAAGTAAGGCTGGTCAGTGTGGGGGCCCGTGGTTGGGGGAGAAGAGGGGGAGAGCTGGCCAGTGTGAGGTTGACCCCGCTCTTGGAGTTGAAAGTTGAGAGTTTAAGTCTGCTAATGTTGTTGTGACCTGTTACGCTTGTATTGGACATGTACTATGTATGTTCACAAAATAGTTATTAAACTAAAGAACTACATTTTTGTCTCCGACTCCTATGTTAAACATTACAATACTATAGCGGCAGGTAAAACTAAATATAAGGCATTAGCTACATCATAGAGGGACAGAAACAGACAGCAACAGACAGTAAACACATATGAAATGAGACAACCTTACCTTTCATCAGTTGAAACAAATCCTCGCTGAAGAAGTGTAGCATAGGCTTATCCGTCTGGTAAAGGGTGAGGAAGGGCTTGATCTCTCTTGCGATGCTGTTGAATATCATCACTTTTGGGATGAACAGCGGATCCTGGGAGCTTTTCTTCACAGCCTCAAAAGACTTAACCTTAGGATCCGGTAGATCACCCTTGTTAACCAACTCCACGTAGGTTGTCACGTAGGGCCAAAACTTTAAAGCTCGGTCAGACACGGTGACATTTTCAATCCAACGGACTCTGCAGAACTTTAGCATCACGGTGTTGCATCCAGTGGCGGTAACAAAGTCCTCACGATGAGCTGGACAATCGTGGAAAAGCCAGTATAGGCTCGAGAGAATGTGCTCAATGTCCCAGCCGGTAGCTTTGCATCCATCTCTGAATGCATTGTGCAGGACATGCAAACCGCATGAACCAATGTTGAGAAGCGATTTGTCCGCCTGCTTCTGCATCTCTTTCTGTAGGAGTTCAAACACTTTCCAGTTCAAGTGTGGCCCGTCCATGGAAAGCTGAATGAGGTTATTCACTCCCGTCTCGGACAGTCCTTTGCTCATCTTTTCAATTATATCAATTGCAGTGGAATGTCCCAAAATTTCAGAGCCAATGTATTTCGTCTTGACTTCTGCTCCATCCCACAGCCTCACGTGTACATCCATTTGTTTTGACTGCAAATGGTGGTTCATCGTTTCATCAAACAGCACTACATATGCCGTTTGTTTAGAAACGTCAGTCAGAATGAGTCTCTTAAAATACGGAGCAAGCCCATATGTGCAGACATAGGAACACTTACTCTCACCGCATGCAAATTGAGCTGCAATCTCGCTGTCCGGGAACATCGCCGCAAAAAGACGGCTCGTGTCCTCGGATGACTTGTATGAGTAGTGAGAATCCATGATTTTTAAAGCCCAAAGTATCTCCGCTTTGATAACTTCGTGTTTTGACGGAACGTTTAACGTTGTCTGTTTCGTTGCTGTTGAAACTGAAGTAGCATTACTTGGTGTATTAGCAGCGTCAACATTCATAAATGTACTGAACATTGCGCTGCTAGCAACAGCGGCTGCTGCGGTCTGGTGCTTTGTCCCCTTCATGTGGCTAGCAAGCGCTGCCTCGCCCATATTCGAAATATCGATTATTTTAGAACATAGTTTGCACGTCTTGGGTCAGTGTCTTTTGACAGCCACAATTGGTAGTTATCCTTGAGAAGCCATACGTTGTTGAATCTGCACTTCCCTGGCATCTTGGCAGCATTATATCAAATAGCTTACTAGCTTCTACAGGCATAAGTAACTGTAGGTTAGAGGGGGCGTGGTAATATCCCTCACCCGCGAAATACCAACAGTTACATTTATTTTACGTTTCATTGGGCTACTTACAATACAATATTTATTATCATTATAGTATTACTATTTCGGTGATTATATAAATTATATTTGATGCAACTTTAGTTATAATTCCCAACCAGTCGATCGCGACCGACCGGGGAGATTCCCAGTCGATCGCGAGATGTGTCTAAAAATAGAACAACAATATTCTGTTTTATCTTTAATGTCCTATAACATAATCTTCCTGTGCCAGAATAATGCACTTGAACGCATCAAAGCTTTGTGATTGGCATGACCCCATGTGTCGGGGCGTGGCTGGTGGGCAGTGGGCACTAGTTAGCTGACGTTGTCCGTGTCAACAGGATTGACAGTCCGCACACACACAAGACCGCAATTATGGTAGAAGCAAAAAAGCCCAAAATATATCATTTTCACTCCGAGGCAGGATGATTATTTTTGTATCTATTCCAATTCAAAGTCCATCTGTCTCATCTGCAATGCGAGCGTGGCTTTATCGAAGAAGGGTAATTTAGGAGCGGCATTTCAAAACAGTGCACAAACGCTCCGAGACGGAATTCCCTCCTAATTCTGCCCTACGCTCCCAAAAGGTGAGGGACCTGAAAGGACAGCTAAATGCACAGCAGTCCATTTTCACCAGGCCCAACACCAAGAGCAAGGCTGCTACCACAGCATCTTATTGTGTCAGTCACGTTCTTGCGAAACACATGAAGTCTTTCAAAGATGGCAAAGTTGTGAAAGAAGCATTCCTGGAGGCTGCCGACGCGCTTTTGGGGGACAGTAAAAATAACAGTCTCACGAGGGCCGCGCGCCCACGTATTAATGCTGTATTTCCCATTCAACGGTGCGATGCATTAATCGGAGCTATTATACCAGGCAAGGTGTGTTTTCTGAAAACAGCACGCCGGCAATAGCGTCTCTTGAACCCGCACAGTGCTTTGACAGCACTCGGTTTATTCCACTCACGTGCACACGCCCACCTGCTGGCTCCCTATACTGGGGTTTACAGCAGGGGGCGGGGAGTGTAGGACAGTGTTTCTTCCTCTGGGGATGGGCAAGAAGCAGCCATGCTGTGATTACTCCTCATCCCGTGAGCAGGGAGATCGATCCATAGAGCCCTTCCGTAGACACGGGGGCTCCCATGAGATCAACACGGTCCTCTTTTGAAAGTGCCATGCGGCGTGATATCCCAGGGACATCACACGGCAGGCAGCGGCGGCGGCCTGTGATGAAGTAGGGTTGACCAAGGAGAGTACAGCCCTGGGCGGTGGACTTCCATGGACGCCGGAAGGAATGGCAAACGTGAATGGCATCCCCAAACACTCGAAGCAAAGGTGGTGGGGGTCGGCGCCCGCTACTTAAGCCGGGGCACGAAGGACAGTCCCGGGTCTCTAGAAGTGGCGACTCCTTGGAGGTATGATAACTCTTTCTTCTTCTTTCAAACGTCTTATCTCTGCTTCAGATGTTGCCCGCTCGCTGAAGCGAAAGGGATGATAGTCAGGAGGCGAGGCCTCCTTTTATACGGTGAGATGCGCGCGCATTCAGGTAGGCCCCACCCAAGGCCGGCTACGTCTATATAAATCTCTGTAGGTGAATGCTTGCATAGAGGGTAGTACCCCACAGAGTTCAGTAGAGGGCGGAGCCTGTGAGAGATATAACGTGTGTGTGTGTGTGTGTGTTTATTACTGCTGCACTCGCTGTAGGGCTGCAGGACGTCGCGTGGCTCTGGCTCAGCAGGACAGAGTGGATATAGACGTCGTTATCAGTGTGTGTGTCACACAGGTAGAGCTGAAGCACATCTCCACTGTAACCATCCAGAGCGCCCACCAGGGAGCGATCAGAGCACAGCTTCTGGAAGGCAGCCCTGGCCTCAGCAGTCCAGCTGCCCTGCAAAAAAAAAACAGACCACAACAATCTTATTCATCAAACTCAACTGCAACTAAACACTCTGTAACATCTGCAGCTTGATAGCTTGAAGAAGATAGTGCTCAGATTTGCCCACTGTCAATTTAATGAATATTAGACTCACAGCGGTGGGTTTAATTCCAGCGAGTGATGACGGGACAGCTTGTGCTGGAAGATTTGAATAACATGACCTGAGGAAACAGAAATGAACAGTACAACAAAACACATGAAACTATCAGTTCAGTAGTAGTACTTGTTGGATCGTTTAACCGCTTAAATGTGTTTAAAATGCCCCTACTTGAGAAACTTGAGGCTGGCGCTCTGTACCACGATCATATCGCCAAAGTCGACAGAGTACACGACAACCTGAGTGGGGCTGATGATCTGATGGATCACCACTCTGTAGAACCACATTCCTTTAGGCGACATGCAGCAGACTTGACCCCTTCGTACAAATTGTCCAGGGAGGCTATAACGCATCGATACCTCAGGGCTGGTGTAACATCGTCTAAAGGCGAGGGAGGAAGAAAGATAAAACATATGAATTACTGGAAGTCATTGCTTATAGAGACAGCTTTAGGAAGTAAGTACGCTTATGGAGAGTATTGTTTAAGGAGTGTCAGATACATTTTGTAATGTAGTTCAGTTTCTAACTTTAATTCTGTCAGTGTTTGGATTCTTGCTGCTTTTTTAGACAATTCAAAATGGCCTTCATATTGGGACAGATGCAGGGAGTGTTATTACATTATCCTTTGACTAAGCTGCCACTAGCATATCCTTCACCTCATCTCAATCATCATGTCCTCCATAGCTTGGGGTTCCTCCTTCTCGCTGAAGCGGATGTAGAAATGTCCAGGGGAGTCCACCTGCTCCACCAGGACCTCCACCAGCTCCCTGGCTCGATGACGTGTCGGAGGTTTGAGGCGTTGACTCTGCAGAGCGTCCAGGGGCACCGCAGTGCTGCTGTGGACCTGGATAGTAGGGTACATCTGAGACATCTACAGGAGGACGCATACAAAACAAAGATTGTTATTTTTCTACATCAATTTAAATAAGTGAACTAACTAGATATTACTAGCTAATTTGTTGCTTGTTCAAAAATAAATCTGAAGCTCTCAAATCTAACTGAGTGATAACAGCTTTTTATCTTACCTGCATATATGGATCAAATCAACTTTTTACAAATGGCATGCTAATTCATGATTTGCACTGGAATCACACCATTTGATGCTCTTATTAATGTCAAGACAGGGTGCTAGTTCACTTTATTATGCTGTTTCTTATTTTCACCATGGTTTCTACTTATTTATTTACAAAATGTGTTTTCCTTTTTTTGTTGAATATGTTCACCTACTTACTTTTATTTTTGTCTTTCACCCGCATTGTCTCTTTACTGTACATTTCCCTCGTTGGACGAATGACTGATTTCTGATTCTGACTGCGTGACAAAATCTTTATTTATATGTCTCTCTTAACCCTCTGGACGCCGGCGCGTCCAGGTGCGCATAATTTTACGTAATTAATCATATATTTTCGATTATAAGGAGTAGAAATATGATTCAGATATCCGCGGAATCGCTGGAAATTTAGCTTTCCAGCGGTATCTCCACTGTGAGACGGTAACCAGGTGCACAGCAGCCAATATGGGCCGCTCAAAGCATCTTGACTTTACACTGTGTGGGTTTGGTGGATTCATGTGTCCGTCAAGGAAATCTCGGCCGGCAGCCATCATGGTCTGAAATGACCAATGGACATCGAGAAATCACTAAGGACCTACCCACCAAGTAAACAAAACAAACTACGTGTCTCCCATCAGTTTAGGTCTGTGAGGAGAGAGAGAGAAAATGGCTAAAAAAAAACTGAAGAAGAAGAAGAAGAAGAAGAAGAAGAAGAAGAAGAAGAAGAAGAAGAAGAAGAAGAAGAAGAAGAAGAAGAAGAAGAAGAAGAAGAAGAAGAAGAAGAAGAATAAAGAAGAGAAGAAGAAGAAGAATAATAAGAGTTAGACGCAGAATAAGAAGAAGAAGAAGAAAGTAAGAAGATAAGAAAAGGAATAAGAAGAGAAAAGAATAAGAATGAAGAATCCTCGCTCCTCCTCCCCTCTCCTCCTCCCCCCTCCTCCTCCTCCCTCCTCCTCCTCCCCTCCCCTCCTCCTCCTCTCCTCCTCCTCCTCCTCCCTTCCTCCTCCTCCTCCTCCTCCTCCTCCTCCTCCTCCATACTCATCCTCCTCCTCCTCCTCATCCTCCCTTCCTCCTCCCCCCTCCGCATCCTCCTCTCCTCCTCCTCCTCCTCTCGCTTGTCCTCCTCCTCCTCCTCCTCCTCCTCTCCTCCTCATCCTCCTCCTCCATCCGTCCTCTCCTCCTCCTCCTCCTCCTCCTCCTCCTCCTTCCTCCTCCTCCATCTCGCTCCTCTCCGCCTCCTCTCCTCCTCATCCTCCTTCAATCCTCATACCTCCTCCGCCTCCTTCCTCCTCCTCCTCCTCCTCCTCCTCCTCCTCATCCTCCTCCTTCCTCCCTACCTCATACTCCTCACCGCTCCTCCTCCTCCTCCTCTCCTCCGTCCTCCTCCTCCTCCTCCTTCCAGCTCCTCCATCCTGCTCCTCCTTCCTGCTCCTCCTTCCTGCTCCTCCTCCCTCCTCCTCCTCCTCCTCCTAACTCCTCCTCCTCCCCTCCATCCTCCTCCTCCCCCTCCTCCTCCGCCTCCTCCTCCTCCTCCTCCTCCCCTCCTCCTCCTCCTCCTCCTCTCCTCACGCCATCCTCCCTCCTCCCTCCTCCTCCCTACTCCATAATAAGACCACGCCGCGAAGAAGAAGACTCATAAAGAATAAGAAAACAACTAATTACTCCCATTTTCCCTTCATTCAGTTTAATATTACAGTACTAGTGTACACTGGCAATGGTGTGGGAATACCCGCGAAAAAAAAAATGAACAATAGGTTTATTGATATATATTTTTTATCGATAGTCATGAACTTTTTATTGGACAAAATAGACTCCATTAGCAAACGTTTAGTCTGTGTTAACGTTATTTTGGTGTGTAAAAGTGAGATTACATGTGTAGAAGATTAAATTAATCATTTATTCGTCCCACAACGGAGACATTTACAGTGACATGTTTTTGCCATCGATTATTTTATCATACTGTTCTGTACAGATGAGACTTTGTCATAGATTTATCTATATGTTTGCCTGTTATTATTTTACCGT